CAACAGTATAGAAAAACACCACACACACACACACACACACACACACACACACACACACACACACACACACACACACACACACACACACATCCCCAAACTTGCCCATTTCAGGTGATTTTGCGCTGGGAACACCAGAAGGGGATCCTCGTCAACCCGCGCACGAAGAACACAACGCACATGCATTACAACCTCAACTTTTTCCACTTTTCGCTGAGCGACTCTGAGATGGATGCCATTGCTGCTCTCAAGGCGCCAACAAACCGCCCAAAGATCACACCAGACCCAGCCAAAATCCCGTGAGCGTCCACGCTCGCCTTGTGAGCGTGCGTGCGTACATGTGTGCGTGTGTGTTGTTGTTGTTGTTGGTTACCACCTCAAGCCTGCCTGCTGCGATGTGATGTGACATGACAACGTGTCATGTCTCCTCACGACAGTGGTTGTGTTCAACCCGTTTATTGAAGGAACACAGTCTCGACTAAACACCCTCCACAATCTCAACTCAGCACCCTTCACGGTCATCAACTAAACAATCTAGCCCAAGCCACTCCGCCACTATGAAGGATGGACACAGGCGCGCAAGCGCTACAATAATCAGCAGGAAAGAGGAAGCAGACACGATGAACACAAAGAAACAAAAGGACGCTGTCACACACAAACACACGCACACACACACACACACACACTCTCTCTCTCTCGGTCACGCTAGGATGCGGCTGAAAGCGTCTGTGAGGAAGATGGTGAGGGAGACGGGCACAGCGACAGCAACAAGGTTCTTGCCAAGCCCCTGGTACAGGAACCGCCAGCCCTTCTTGGCATGCAGATGCTTGATGGTCTGGAACATGGATGTCTCGGTCTGGAACATGGTGTTGCGGATGACATCGAGCGGGTTGGTGAGGGTGGCGCCGGCCAGACCGGCAATGACGCTCTTCTTTGCGCTGCGCACGAGCACAGCCGTGCGATCCGTGGAGTCCACAGGTGCCAGCCACTCGTCCATCATCTCCTTCACGTACACCGCCGTCACATACTTTGGCACCGTCTTGAAAATGCCAGCACTGTGGAATACCAACAGCATGCATGCGTGTGTGCGTGCGCGTGTGCGTGTCAAGAAGAGTGGGTCACTTGCAAGGAAACCATAGAAAGAGAGACCCCTCACACAGATAGAGAGCGTGGGAGCTGCACGCATGCACAGACGATAACTAAACAGGCGTGCACACGCAACAAATACACACGCACGCACACGCACGCACACGCACGCACACGTAAGCATGAGCACAAGTAAGTAAACGTTTACGTACGCACCTCAAGCCATGCCACAGGGCAAAGAAGCCGCGCTTGTGTACAATGTGCTTGCCCATTTGCCAGAGCGACGTCTGTGTTGCGGTCGGGTTTTGCAGCATGATGGAGCACCTGATCAAGGGCATGTTCACCACTTGCACGCACGTGCTGATGGCCAATGGCGGCAGTGCAATGCTGGCAGAGTGGCCGACGCCCGCGGCCTGTAGCAAGTGCCGGCCCTTATCCGAGCCGTAGAAGATGGCAGCGCGTGCCCATGTCATGCCGCCCATAACAGCAAAGACGCCCCGCCATGGCGGCTGCAGCGACTCCAGCATGCGGCCGTACATGGTCTTCGCATGCAGGGTGTATCCGGACTGGCCCATGGCCGATGCTTTCCACAGCGGGAAGTTCACCACCGCAGCTGCGCCAGACGCGCAAAAGTACGCCGTCGCTTGCTCAGCAGACTTGGGCGCCATCTTCGTTGACTAGTTGGTTGGCTGACTGGCTCAGTGGCTCAAAAGGTGGAGGGAGGGACGGTACGGATGCAGGGACTGAGGGATGGGCACGGATGAGACAGCAGCTCTTTGCTGGCTGGCAGTCATGCGCCTCCCGCCGGCTGCCACAAAACGCGGTCCTTGTGGTTACGGAAAAGTACCTGAAGACATCCGCCAATCGCCGTTTACACGTGAATTGGCAGCAGCGCAAAAGGCATAACCCACCACACAGCCAACCCTCTGTGCTTGTCTTGTCCACCAACCAACCAACCAAGCCGGCGATGCCCACCATCTCCGTATCACCAGAGGCCCTGTACAAGGGCCTCGGCCGAACCATGAGTACGTGTCGCTTGTGTCGCTTGTGTCGCTTGTGTCGCTTGTGTCGCTTGTGTCGCCTGTGTTGCGGAACATGCGCAGCGATGCGTGCAGTGTGTGTGTGTGTGTGTGTTGTGATGTGCGCAAAGTGTGCAAGGTGTCACGCGGGAGATATGGCGTTCACGTATTGCTTCCTTCCTATGTTTGCCTTGTATTGGCCCGTATCGGCTTCCAAACAGCCGAGAAGGAGTTTGACAAGCTCTGCTTCGACTACGGCCTCGAACTCGAAGTGGTGTGTGTGTGTGTGTGTGCGTGTGCGTGTGTGTGCGTGCGTGTGTGTGTGTGCGTGTGTGTGTGTGTGTGTGTGTGTGTGTGTGTGTGTGTGTGTGTGTGTGTGTGTGTGTGTGTGTGTGTGTGTGTGCGGTGCGTATTTAGGGGGCGCCTGAGCATGCGTGCATGCAACTCGCTCATACAGACTCTCTCCTTTCTCCCGTGTGTGTCTTTCTCGCCCCCATCCGCCACATTCACACACTCGTTTGCCCATTTGATTCACGCACCCACACATGCACACTATTGTCATAGGAACGAGAGGACGAGGAAGGCAGACCCTCTGGTCAGTTGGTGACACGTGCGCCACTCTGCTTCCCTACCGGTTCATCCATCTCTTGAATCTCTCCCCCAATGAATGATGCCTCACCCGCGCGTGTGCGTATTTGATTTGTTTTTGTGGTGTGCCCTGCTGTCTTGCATTGACCAAACAGAGACCGGAAAGCTCGTGTACAAGGTTGAGATCCCCGCAAACCGGTGAGCAGGACGAGATGACGTGCAGCCAGCCGGCCCGTCAACTGCATGGTCAATCAGGCATACGCGTACCTGCCTCCCCCCCCCCCCCCAATTCTACCACGGCTTCCGTCCTCACACATACACACACGTACTCGCGCACACACCCGCCCCCATCAACACCGTGGCAGCTATGATCTCCTGTGCCTGGAGGGCCTTGTGCGTGCCCTGCGCGTGTACCTCGGCGATATTGAGGCCCCACGCTTCAAGCACGTTGACATGAAGCCTGAGGACATGCAGCAGCTCACCATCACCCCAGCCGTACGTCAGTGGAACGTGAATATGTGTGTGTGTGTGTGAGAGAGAGAGAGAGTGTGTGTGTGTGTGCGTTTGTGACTGCAGTGTCGCGTGTAGCCCCTATGTCTGTTGCATCGTGGATGCGCATGCCTCACAGCCTGTTCACCACCAACCTGGCTCATGTACACCACGATACATAACACATGACACCCATAACATACGGCGCACGTTGTGCAGACCCAGAGTGTGCGTCCCTTCTGCGTTGCCGCCATCCTGCGCGGTGTTGAGTTCACACAGGACGTCTACGAGCGCTTCATCGATCTGCAGGTGTGTCAGCGAGCCACTTTCGCAGTCGTCTGTGCTTTCTGCAGTGCTGTCGTGGCTGTGCTCCTGTGTTACATAGCATACGTTTGCTTGTGTTGCCAACTAATGCCCTCTCGTATGCGTGTGTGTGTCTGTGTGTCTGTGCATGTGTGTGTCTGTGTGTGTGTCAATGCTCAGGACAAGCTGCATCAGAACATCTGCCGCCGCCGCGCCCTGGTCGCCATTGGCACGCACGACCTCGCCACCATCACAGGTCCGTCCCTCTCAACTCTGTGTAGCACCGCTGACAGCCTGTCACCCAAAACACAATATGTCTGGCATGCACACGCATACCCGCCGCCACTGCTGACCACCGCACTGCGTTTGCAGGTCCATTTGTGTACGATGCGCAGAAGCCAAGCGACATCAGCTTTGTTCCCCTCCGCGTCCCCAAGAAGGACGAAAACGTGCGTTGCTCTGAACGCCGTGTTTATTCCCTTGCATTTCGTGCATGCGTCTGCGCGCTGTCCCGCTTCTTCCACTCACACGCATGTGTATGCGTGTGTATCTGTGTGTGCGTGTGTGTGTGTGGGCTTGTGTGTGTGTGCGCGCGCGCGTGTGTGTGTATGCGTGTACGTGCAGGGCAACGCAACGAACGAGACAGAGGTTCCGACACGCGAGTACACCGCTGCAGAGCTCATGGTTGAGTATGAGAAGGACCAGCAGCTCAAGCAGGTCCGTACAGGCACCCGTGTGTGTGTGTGTGTGTGTGTGTGTGTGTGTGTGTGTGTGTGTGTGTGTGTGAAGAGCAGATATTGCTTGCATGTCTTCGCGGCCTTTGTTGTTCTAACGTGTGCATGATGTCTGCTGCGTCTCCTGGTCCTGCTGGTGCAGTACCTGCACATTATCAAGGACGAGGAGGTGTATCCTGTCATCCGCGATGCGAACGGCGTCGTCCTCTCCCTCCCGCCCATCATCAACGGTCCGCGCCTTTAATTTAATTCGTGTGTCGCCGGTTGTGCGCGTGTGTGGGTGTGGGTGTGGGTGTGGGTGTGGGTGTGGGTGTGGGTGTGGGTGTGGGTGTGGGTGTGGGTGTGAGCGTACACATCTCATGTTCATTTCTGTGTTGCGGCTGCCGTACCCGACTGTTCCTGTGTGGCCACTGTCGTCGCCATGTGTTCAGGCAACCACTCGCGCATCACACTCGATACCAAGGACGTCTTCATCGAGTGCACAGCAACAGATCTCGTGCGTACGCACACACACACACACATGCATTCTCGCCCCCCCCCCCAACGCACACGCACTTGCTATTGTGTCCTGCTCGCGTCTGTGCCAGTCCGTAATCACGACCACCTCTGTGCACCGCGTACTTGCGAGAGCTTCGCGTTCGTGCATGCTTGATGTGCTGCCAACCCCACTTTCTGCTATGCTCAACACCACCACCAACCACGTCCGCCACCGTCATCACGGTCACTGCCACCACAGACGCGGGCGAAGATTGTGCTGAACATGATGGTGACGATGCTGCCTGCCAAGTCCATCGAGCCCGTCCACGTCACCCCGCCAAACGGCCAGGAATCGCACGTCTACCCCGTCAGTTCACGGCCCGTGTGTCCGTGTGTGTGTGTTGCTTAACATGCCATGATCAACCACATCTTCCCCATTGCCAATTTCTCATCACCACCCCCACCCCACCCCACCCCACTCCACTGGGCCATGACTGGTAACAGGAGTTCAAGTACCGCACGGAGAAGGTGTCTGCTGGCGACATCTACCGGCGCATGGGCATCAAGAAGGAGCAGGCCACACCCGAACAGCTCGCAGCGCTCCTCACAAAGATGCAGCTGCGCGGAAAGCTTGTGGACGCAGACGCAATCGAGGTCGAAATCCCGCCAACGCGCCCAGGTAAATAGCGTTGCCATTGACCGGCTTGGTGCTGCTCGTTGGTTCTACTCCTACTTTCAGCGCTGCTGTTGTTGCTGCTGCTGCTGCTGCTGTTGCTGCTGCTGCTGCTGCTGTTGCTGCTGTTGCTGCTGCTTGTGTTTGGGTGTTTGTTTGGGTTGTGATCTGTCCATACGTATGGCTGATGTGGCATGCGTGATCATTGCACTGGCAGACATTCTGCACGCGTGTGAT